GAAGGAAGGAAGGAAGGAAGGAAGGAAGGAAGGAAGGAAGGAAGGAAGGAAGAAGGAAAATTAGGAAAACAAAGCTTGTATGTAAATCTGTTTACTACAGCACTATTCACACAGAGGGAAGGCTAACCCAGCTGCAGAACCCTGCAGCATTCACCCACAATGGATTAATACTATGCTCAGTCTCAAATTGGAAGTGGTAGCACATGCCTTAAGACCAGCACTTGGGAGATGAAGGCAGGAGGATAGGAAATTCAAAGTCATTTTCTGCTCCCCCAGGAATTCAAGGCCAGTCTGGGCAACATGAGCCCCTGTCTCAAACCAAAACAAATAAAACAGTGTTTTTCCAAGCAGTGTTGGTAATAAGAAACATGTTCCTGACCTGAGCGGATGGACAGAAGGATAGAGAACCATATTCACAGAAGTCACTAGAAGCTGTGGATGGACCAGTGGTAGAGGGAGCAAGGGAAAAGACAGTGAATGTGTGCAGAGCGAGAGCCTGGTGCTTGTAACACGAGAAGCTATGTTGTACCCTGACTTCCGCTGCTTTTTTATTTGTTTCCAGCCTCTCTACAACCACAAATGGCCATGGGTTGTATTTTTTGTTTTGTTTTGTTAGCCTTTTTGTTTGTTTGTTTTTTACCAGAAGAAAAAATAAAGCAAAACCAAACAGAAGACAGAAATTGGGCTAAAAAAAATAAATCAATCAAAGAAGACATTTTTTGCTGCTGACTCTGGTCACCTCCCTCCCCTCCCGTGTCTGGCTGCATCCTGACAGCCACTGTTTATTCAGAGAGACAACCCGGTGCCAGAGTGCGCCTCAGTAACCCAGAAAATGTCCTGTGGATCCCCCACCCCAACTTCCTGCAACTAGCCCTCATTGACTAAAATGTGTTAGCCAAACAGTACGTTACAGAGACCTCTGACCAGGGGAGACTCTGAGCTCAAATGGCCTTTAACGATCTGATGCTCTGATTAACACTCACCTGTCTTTGAAACCGTTTTTCTTTCCTCCTTTCCTCACTCCACCCTGCTGCCCCACCCCCACCCCCAAACAACACAGTGATACTGCTTGGGCTTCAGGGTGGTACCTCAGGAAAGAGTGAAATCTCAAAGAGGTGAGGCCTACTGTAGTCAGGGTTACTATTGCTGTGATGAAACACCATGACCAACAGCAAATCAGGGAGGAAAGGGTTTATTTCACATCACTGTTCATCACTGAAGAAAGTCAGGAAAGGAACTCAAGAAGGGCAGGAACCTAGAGGCAGGAGCTGATGAAGAGGCCATGGAGGAGTGCCATTTACTGGCTTGCTCCTCATGGCTTTCTCAGTCAGTCTGCTTTCTTATAGAACCCAGGACCACCAGCCCAGGAATGGAACCGCCCACAATGGGCTGGGCCTCCAACATCAATCTCATTGGCCCCTGGATGGTGGTAGTGCATACCTTTAATCCCAGGCAGCAGCAGAGACAGGCAGATCTCTGAGTTTGAGACCAACCTGATCTACATAGCGAGTTCCAGGACAGGCAGGGCTGTTGCACAGAGAAAGCCTGTCCAAAAAAAAGAAAGAAAGAAAGGAAGGAAGGAAGGAAGGAAGGAAGGAAGGAAGGAAGGAAGAAAGAAAGAAAGAAAGAAAGAAAGAAAGAAAGAAAGAAAGAAAGAAAGAAAGAAAGAAAGAAAGAAAGGAGGCAGGGAGGGGGAGGAAGGAAGAGAAAGAGAGAGAAAGAAAGAAAAAAGGAAGGAAGGAAGGAAGAAAGAAAGGAAGGAAGGAAGGAAGGAAGGAAAGAAGGAAAGAAGGAAGGAAGGAAGAAAGAAAGGAAAAATGCAAGCTTGCCTACAGTTGGATCTTATGGAGGCATTTTTTCAATGGAGGGTCCCTCCTCTCTGATGACTCTAGAAGAGGTTAATGGAACCCCAACTTTCTTTCCTCTTCCCCGCCTTTGCTCCCAGCCATGAGAAAATGATTTTTTCATCTATCCCACCGTGATTGGCTGCCTCACCACAGACTAAAGGCAATGGAGCCAGCAAATCCTGGCTTGCAATCTCCAAAACTGTTAAACAAATCAAACCTTCTCTCTTCAAGAGCTAATTCTCTGAGAAATTTGTTCTGGTGATGGAAAGCTAATACATGCCAGGATGATAAGATGGAACTGCAGAACACTCAGCTCTGGAACATTCTCCTCCATTTACCAAATCCCACCCCACCCTCATCCCAGACACACAAATTACATTTCCCAGGCTATTTAGTAGTTGGGGCATCCCTATGATGAGT